GTGAGTGGGCAGGAACTAAGCGTATTATTCAAATAATTATCTTGAAATTCAGTTTCTCCCCTTTTGACACTGCATTGCATGCACACGTACATGTACATGTACATGATTGTGTACTTCAAGAAGGAAATTTTCCATTTGCCAGCGAAGAGGGCTCAACAGAGTACCGTGGAGCACTATTACACACAACGACACAAAGGAGGCTCGCAGAGTTCGTCGCAACTCCGAGTTTCTTACAATGGCTGGCATAACCAACATTTTAATTCCACTCTTGGTCCCAAGAGTAAATAAGTTCCCAAGTATACAGGGGAATCTTCCAATAGTACTCAACACGACTGATCACACAGCATGGGGCTGTGTTCCCAAAAATAAGTTTAAGAAAATGGACAAAACAAATTGAATACAAACAAGAACATGATAAGCAACAAACGCAGAGGAGGGTAGCGAGATATCGCAACTAATCTCGCGAGAATCTTCCAATAGTGCATTGGATGATTCTGCACAAGTAACTGTGAGGCCACACTACTCACTAGCAGTGCTATTGTCACAGTGTTGTTGTGTGCTGTTATCAGTAGCAGTGTTAGGCGAGTGTTGAGCTCTGTGGCAAACAAAGCACTGTCACCACTGTGTGTGTGTGTGTGTGTGTGTGTGTGTGTGTGTGTGTGTGTGTGTGTGTGTGTGTGTGTGTGTATGTGTGTGTGTGTGTGTATGTGTGTGTGTGTGTGTGTGTGTGTGTGTGTGTGTGTGTGTGTGTGTGTGTGTGTGTGTGTGTGTGTGTGTATCACTATCAGGCTATGGAGTGGGCTAAGTGCATGTGCATGACAGATACTCCAAATACTCCAATGTCCAAGCCAAGGCTGTGCTACTCACACTTAAGTCTTTGAGCTAAGTAATACGAATAGTTAGTTGAGGGCCTTCCCGTATACCCTATGGCATGGGTTCGGGTACTGAAGTGAGGCAATCACACCCTCACCTCAAAGTATCTCTCCACTCTGGAATACATCCTCGCGCACACAGCACTCCACTGCTGAGTACACTGCATGTCCTGGAGTACTGTAGTGACTAATGCATAACAACGCCAAGAACACTGACATGCAATGACTATGACCTGATGACTATGTAGAGCCATCACCTGTACATCTACGTAATTGACTGTTACCACTACTTGTACTAGTATTACTGTTAGCCCGATGCAGTGTGAATATAGCTGACTCTGACAGAATCTGATAGTCACTGTTGGGACATGTACACTGTTTATAATTAAGTTGTGTAGTCGACGTGCCAAACCGCCGAGGTGTGATACCTTGTACCTAACATACAACAACCCTTCATTCTCGCGTCACATCACGCCATAACTGCATTGTATTTATCTACTTCAGAAATCCGCATTGTATACTGTGTCGGAAAGAGGACTCCTTGCCTTGGTATTGTTGGTCTTTGGTTTTCAGCAGCCCTGCGGGGTGCCAAGTGGCCGTTTGAATTTGATGGTGTTTTATGTTAGTTAGATCATTGCTTTCCACAAGCAGTAGCACCGAGCATTACATACATTACAGCATTGGGTTGGTTATACATGTACATGTAGATCCTGCTTTTTGTAGTCGTCTAGGCAGCGCTGGCTGTTTCATAGCAATTATGACGTCATTGCTATGCCTGATGGACAGTTATCACCAGGCAGCGGCTGTTGACGGGTGTCGTTGGCATCCTTCGGCTAACAGTTGATCACTCTCTGGTGTTTCCGGCTGGGTCATGGCCCTTCCGAATTGGCCATCACACTCACACTCACACTCACGGCAAAGAGAAGAAAGTTTGAAACTGGTAACGGAGGAATGCCGAACACAAGTGGGTGCAGCCCCTCATGCCGCATCCACGCCGCAGAACACAGAATGTAGAATGCAGAGCACAGAATGTCTATTGAGCCAGCTCTCGCATGATTGCCTGATCTCCTTATCATGCAGGTTTGCGTAATGAAGCGAGTCCTCACATGATCACCTCCTAACCACCGGCATATCAGTGAAGTGACGCTTCATGATGATGCCACAAGCTTAGCTATGGCTTCTCAATTCAAGGCATTAGCCGGATCCAAGTGGAGAAAACATAAACATGATTATCTAAAACTACATATACCCACTACTGTACATAGCAAAGTGGACGTCTCCTGGATATAATCAGATACACTACAGCCAGTACATGATGCAGACTAGTACTGCCTAGCACATGGACTGTAGCAACAGGGATCTGCATGTCGGCCATCAATGTACATTTCAAACACAGCTGCACTGACTCCGTGAGGCAGTGGATACGCCACGCCAATTGGTTAGCCATCGGAAGCTGAGAGCAGTTTCGACACGGCTCGTTGTCACGAAAGTCTCTACTCATATCAGTGGCTTGGTTGGATCATGGAGCTAGCCGCGGAGCAACACCACATTCTTCAATACTACAATAGCCTCAGATGCGATCAGCTGTGGTGGCACCAAACCCGCCTGCTTGCCTGTCCCGTCACTGAAGATTGATGCGCGAAAGAATGTCCTACCGCAGTACCGCAGTATCACTAGAGCTAGAGCTAGAGTGGTTGTGATGCTGTTTGTGAACCTACATCATAGTAGTAGTACATGGTACATGCAGCCCGCTCGCAGAATGGTGGGCGTGTGACGAGTTTGTGGAGGCCATCACCCCACTCTCCCCATAGAATAGGTCGAGTTGAACTGTATCCTGCGCGGCTACCCGCTTTGATGCATGTCCTCCCCACCGGCACAGGCCTGGGGTACGCCGGGTACAGGAGTGACCAGGCCTAGGCTATAGTATAGGGTAGACTGGGTCAGGCGTGTATGTACTATTTGTGACACTGCTCATGCTACCTTACGAAGCATTAGTTACGTAACAACTGCCTGCTGTAATTGGCACCACTACTGGCGCTAGGGAGGCAACCATGGCCAAACCGGTCCACATCAATCAGATTCATTGGCCAGATGACCTCAGGGAGGGTTTATCACTACATATGGGTGTAGTCAACTACATGTAAGAGTTAAAGACCTTCTGGTAGTAACGCTCAAGAAATTGAAGAAATTTCAAGAATGGCATGCATTCACTCGTCCTCTACAGCATGCTAGCAGTAGACGCCTTCTGTCCTGACAGGCAGTTGATCCTTCCGCTTCACCCTCCAAGCTAGGAGAGTCAGGCATCACGGTACGCTGGTACACAAAGCTGCGGGTGTTCCACTAGTATGTACATGTAGCATGCCAGCGTCCGTGGATCATGTTACTCCATCCTTGGCCCAGGAATACATGTAGGATACAACTAACTTTAACCACTACTAGTACTTACTAACTAATAACAGTTACTAGTACATGTAGTAATACTTCCTAACCCTTAGCAGGCGTATGCTTTTAAAGTTATGGCCAACATCTACTACTACTAGTACTTCGAAGTAATACTTATAACATCAGGCTGTGTTCTGGTAGCAGGAGGCGGAGCGATAACGTTAGACTATAGACTATAGTCATTACTGCAGTAGTTCGAAGCAGGGAGTCGCATCCTCATGTGAGATGTGATAAGCGATATCCGTAGTCTGTCAACGTCTTGTGCAGGGAATACTAATGCCGGCTCCAGCACAAACTCTGTGTTAGACTGACTGACCAGTGCTCAAGGCGATTACAGACAATCGCCCTCGGCTCTAGGATTATTGGAAATGCTGCCCTGGCCGTCGCCGCTACACATTATCTCAGTCTATCCCAACTAGAGATTAGCTCAACGAATCATGTACATACACCATCTTGCCCGTGTCGGAACATGTTGTACAGTTTGTAGCAAGTCAGCTTGGACGAGATCGTAGCAACTGTGCTGGGCGGATCTCACCGCTGTTGCACTTGCAGCAGATCACCGCCGAGATGCTCTGATTGAGACGCAGCATGCACATCAACCACATCAACCATGCCATGGCCCCAGTTGCCAGTATTGGCAGTAACACTGACTGATACCGGTCTAGCAGGTGTACACACACACACAAGGCCTCCTCCACACCGGTGTACCCAACACACCGTGTGCACACAGTGCAGGGCGTTCAGTGTAGATACCGGTCTACTGCCGTACTGGTGACATTAGAATGGATGATATCCAAGCACAATATACAACATACAACATACATGTAGCTTCCCCACCGCCACTTGGAAGTACGACCATGTACCATACATACATACATACATGTACCATACATACATACATGTACCATACATACATACATACGCCTCACTGTCACCACACTCATGGATAGTAACACCGGCAAGGCCGCAGGCGCGGAGACTCTTCCCAACCGCTAAAGCATTGTTTAAAGGGAAACTGAACGCCAAAAATAAGTATGTCTTATCCGAAGGAGAATTGGGCACTGATTCCGATGAGCTATGTCTCGAGCCGATCAGAGAAGAGGAACTGTGTCAAATTTCATAAATAACACCTCCCATATTTGGAAATTGGCCTTGATGACGTGCGTACTGCTTAGCTGTCACCATGCTGTGCATGTTCAGCAGTGTAATTGAATGGAAGAAACCAATTACTTTGGTGTTTTGCAGCTCTGTTTCGTTCCCTGACGGTAACCAAATCTAGATGTAGGAATCTGTTGAGCAGGAGAGTGACACATGTCTTCCCGGAGGCTGTCCAGGCTGCAGTGGTGATGAAGAAGACACGATCATCACCCCGAGATCGATCGTAGCGAATTGGAAACTTTGAACTCATGGTGAATTTGCTTCCACTCCAAGGCAATGTCGAGGTATGAAGGGTGCTTGTACTGCCTTCCAAAGTGAAGAGGAGATGAACATGGCTTTGCATAGCTGTTGTTCTATGCCAACTTACCTACTCTTGCTGGTACCGTAGTGGCATATTGCAAATTTCGTGGACGAACAACTCTAGTCACTAGTGGCTAGTGAGCAACACTAACAGGTGAGATTTTTCAATTCGACAAAAAATGTTTTTGTTTGAGAACTGACAGTGGCAGTCATTAGACTCAGTAGGTGTCTCTCTGCTGCTTCTTTCCCTTCATCGGTAGGGTTGTGCTTGAAGTAAAAATAAATAGAAAATGTGGAACAAAAATCTGATCATGTAATTCGAATTTGAACTTCAAAGTATGTGTACATCAAATCACAAAAATGACTGTCAAGGTGGTGCTGTGCATTGAAAAAGACTGGGAGCTGGCAGCAATGGAAAGGGTAGAAACGAAACCAGTAATGCAGAGTATTCATAAGGTAGAGGGAGATAAAAACGGGAGAGGAGTAGTGAGCACTTCAGTTTGAAGTAGTGTCAATAGACAGCATCGTGTTGCATACGTTGTGAATATTGTGTGAATCTAATAATTGTCACGAAATTGATACCCAAAATTATTATCCCCTGAGTAGTATTATGGTGTTCTCCTGTGTTTACATGCAGAGCCTTGACGTTGCTGGACAAGCGACAATATAAATTACATAAACATGTAGCTCGTGATGTGGGATGACTGCCGTATCGCATTGCCAACGCAAACCCATCCTGTGTCAGTGCAGCCATCCAGCAACTTGAACTCCCCGGACCAGATGCCGCTGCAGCTGAACACCATGCCGATGGAAAGCCAGGAGTTGATAACGAAGCATTCTGGTCTGCACAGTACAAGGCAAAGAACAATTATGAATTATAATGCATTGTAATCTTTCCCACACTTCTTTGTAAAAACAAACAAACAGTGCCATTATCACAACACTTGATCAAGCATCTTGATGGAGGTATTTTCCATTGTGCTGGCTCAGCATCTGCACCAGGAAGACCATGTACACTTACACGTATCTTGTGTGTGTGTGTGTGTTCGTGCGTGTGTGTTTGTGTATCTGTATGTGCACACGTGTGTGTGGGGGGGGGGGACGCACATGTGTATGGGTAGGAATGTGTGTGTGTGTGGGGGGGGGGGGGGGTACACGCACATGTGTATGGATGTGCGCGCTGCATGCGTGTGTCTGTGGGATGGGATGGGGGTGCACGCACATGTGTACATGTGTGTGCGCAATACAGCATGTGTGTATGTGTTCGTTGAACACAGGGTGTACTCCTGATTACATAAACTTCGTGATCATTGTGATTTCATGTGCTTTGAAGTTGAACTGCGCAATACATGTACTGATGCTTGATTAGATTTATGTTCCACATGTTCTATTTATTTTATTTTACTTCAAGCACTTGTATTATTCAAGCACAACCCTACCAATGAAGGGAAAGAAGCAGCAAAGACACCTACTGAGTCTAATGACTGCCACTGTCAGTTCTCAAACAAAAACATTTTTTGTCGAATTGAAAAATCTCACCTGTTAGTGTTGCTCACTAGCCACTAGTGACTAGAGTTGTTCGTCCACGAAATTTGCAATATGCCACTACGGTACCAGCAAGAGTAGGTAAGTTGGCATAGAACAACAGCTATGCAAAGCCATGTTCATCTCCTCTTCACTTCGGAAGGCAGTACAAGCACCCTTCATACCTCGACATTGCCTTGGAGTGGAAGCAAATTCACCATGAGTTTTCCAATTCGCTACGATCGATCTCGGGGTGATGATCGTGTCTTCTTCATCACCACTGCAGCCTGGACAGCCTTCGGGAAGACAGGTGTCACTCTCCTGCTCAACAGATTCCTACATCTAGATTTGGTTACCGTCAGGGAACGAAACAGAGCTGCAAAACACCAAAGTAATTGTTTTCTTCCATTCAATTACACTGCTGAACATGCACAGCATGGTGACAGCTAAGCAGTACGCACGTCATCAAGGCCAATTTCCAAATATGGGAGGTGTTATTTATGAAATTTGACACAGTTCCTCTTCTCTGATCGGCTCGAGACATAGCTCATCGGAATCAGTGCCCAATTCCCCTTCGGATAAGCCATACTTATTTTTGGCGTTCAGTTTCCCTTTAACTGCCGCTCTAGGTACTTACCTGTATGGTGTACAGCGGAGGGCTCTGACCGTGCTGACGGGCAACGCCAACTATGGTCGTTACACAGTTTGTTGCATGGCAGGACGATGGACGTTAGTGAACTAGAAACCTTTCCACCCGTAGCTATGTACAAAGTAAAGTACTAACATTGTGATTGGCTCTGATGTGCAGGGCGATTCGGCTTTTCAACATGGATGTAAAATGTCATTCTCTCCGTAACCTCCTAGCCAAACTTGGCTACATTCAAATCGAATGTGGCAAGTGGAAGTGCTATCCTTCATGGCCAGCGTGTCCAAAAATAGGAATGGTTCCAAGAATGGTTCCAACGTGCATGGAAAGTACCCTGGATCATGCTCAGCGTTCCTACTGCTCTCAGCATTCACAATTTTGGAGTTTGATGATGATGATGATGACTTTTGTTTTATTTCGCAAATCTGAGACTGTGTTACACCACAGCTGGTAGCAATCGCAGGTAGCAGCAGGAGGACGAGGAGGTACATTGTACATGTACATGTAGCTACTGTGCATGTAACTCGCGAATCTACAATCTACAATGTACAATCTACAATGTACAATCTACAATGTACAATCTACAATGTACAATCTACAATGTACATGTACATTGTAGATTGTAGGTGCCACAATAAAAATTAATAATAGCCAAATTGCCCAGTTCATGCCCCGTCTCACTGCCCCACAGCCCGTGGACACGTCGCTGCTCTCTACCTCGTAAGACATGTGCATGACGATTGTGCAAGTACTTTGCTAAAGAGACTGGACAAGGTAGATGGTGCTCACGCAGACACTGTAGTCTTGAGGTAGAATATGTTCACTGTATAGTGTGTATTGGCCTACCGTGACTTACTAGCAATGGACAACACTTGTCTTCTGTGCTTGCACCGCAATGAGAGTGCAGTGTGTATTTGTGTTTTAGTATCACTATGGCTGTCATTGTACAACTACAAGTACTGTACATGTACATGTACATCATTATGTCCTGCGGCGGATCAGTCAGCTGATGCTGTGAATGAAGTGTGATGCCCGGGTGAGACTTTACATGTATGTCGAGTATGATCCGGCATGCAAGCGTCTGTGTCAGGACCAGTGCAACAGTCTGTGTGTGCACAATGGCAATGGTGTGCTACACGTATGTCCTCTGTAGTCTAATATTACTACAATGACTTTATGTACAGTCATGTACTAGTACTGGCGTCTCTTCACCGACGAGGCTATACAGGTCAGGCGTTCGCAAAGCACTGAGGCTGCACTCCGTCTACATGTACATGTATGCAGTATTGCTACCCCTGCATGCAACACAATTGCATCCACAAACGGCTTGGCCAAGTAGGTAGAAATGCTAGGTCAGATAGCAGTTCGTGGAAATCACGCAGAAAGTGCTGAACACGCGTAGGAAAGTGCTGAGCACTGTCTGGTGCTCACCGTGCCAGTCTCCCACTCCGACCCAGGAGAAAAACACGTATTGAGACTTCCCCGATGTGTTGATATGACATAACATATTGTCCTGCATGCAGCTCAGGTCAGGACACCTCCGGAACATTCCCGTTGTGGATAGTAAGACTACGTCAGTATGCATAGGGCGACATCATGTCATTGCTCACCGAATCTAGACGAGGCGGGAATTATTTCAGGACAGGCACCAGAAGTGGGCACGTGTCAGCGCCGAAGTCCGGGTACCTCGCCATTGCCCAGTCGGCATTGCATTGTGATGATGAAATCAGTGCATGTGCAATGTCGATGTCTACATGTACATGTACGTATACATGTACGTATACATGTACATGTATCTTAGTAGTATTCTGTAGAACATTCTCAGATATGATTCTGTCAACATGTAATGCTGTCCGAAAGAAAGTCAACAACAACCTTGTGCGATGTTCGTGTGTGTTCGCGTTCATTTACCGTCGCAGCAGAGACATCGAATGACAGAGTAGGCGCATGCACGTTAGCACATGTTTACGTAAATTCTGACTTGGCACGACACAGTCCCGTAGTCTTACTTCGGGGAATTCTTTCTCCGACTCCCTGCCATACGTCCGCCACACTGCCCTTGCATCAATGACAAGTCAAAGGTAGAGAATGACAGCGCAGTCAACCTGAGAATGACAGCGCAGTCAACATGCACCGACCTCTGACAGCGGCGAGGTTAGAGCAATCCACACGTCAAGACCAAGCACCCACCAGTACCACTATCCAATGACTGGATGGAGGTTTGGAGGTGGAGACAACGTTCTTATCGCTCAGCCTAATCGCGACCAGAGCTCGGCCCGGGACGCCAGACGCCTGCCAGGTGTCATGCCAAAACACCCTAGGGGCCTGCTCATACACTCGCTCTGGCTGCCCTATAGGCTACACAATCATTGCATGCAAATATCCTGGAACAAGGGAACATACTGCTACTGCCAGTACTAATACTGCTACATGTACTGTACTAGTACGCTGGGTGCTCAGCTGTAACATCCGCTGCCTCCCACACTCGCCACATGGCACAGCTGCCGGTTTGCGAAGATTTTTTTAAAGTGTAGAATGCAGACTGAGTGAGGCCCAGTGTCGGCACTGTCACCAGGTCACCACACTGGCACTGTGGCTACAATGACTATGTACATGTACATGACTTTGTACGTGTAACGTTAGGTCCTGAATCTAATCCAATCGCGTATGCAAATGCGACTGTTTGCCATTTCTCCCACAATAGCAACAATGCACAGGACGATAAAATTATATCAACAATCCGATATTATCAGAGTATCGTATTTATACTGAAGTGTGCTGCAGGGGGTCGAGCTTGTATGAATCCCAAGCAGGAGTCGTAAACCCGTCAAGCTCTTGCTGACATCAACCAACAATTTTACATGTACTCCAAGTACACTGTACACTGTACTATAGGTATGCGTGCAGTATGCATTGGGTTTCCGATTCTCAACCTGAGCCTCGGAAGGACGGAAGCCTTCACAAGAGCACGCGTACTGCGGCCATTATTGTGTGTGTGTGCGTGTGTGTGTGTGTATATATATATGTGTGTGTGTGTGTGTGTGTGTGTGTGTGTGTGCGTGTGTATGTGTGCGTATGTACATGTGTGTGTGTGTGTGTGTGTGTGTGTGTGTGTGTGTGTGTGTGTGTGTGTGTGTGTGGTGTGTGTGTGTGTAAGTGTGTGATAAGTGTATGTGTGTGTCACTGACTCACTGTGTGTGTGCGTGTGTGTGTGTGTGTGTGTGTGTGTATGTGTGTGTGTGTGTATGTGTCTGCTTGTGAGTTCTTTCTTTTGATTACATGTAGGAACAATCTCAAAACGAATACAATACACAGACATTGTCGGTTCTGACTGAGTACATGACACATGCCACGGCTATATTCGGAGGTTTTACCAGCATGTGCAACGCAGCATGAGTTATTCTCGCACTAGTCACTGACGCAAGTCTTCAGTTCGGTAGCACACATCAAAAGAAAGGTTGTAGCTGATGTCACACAACTAATTCGAAGTGAACGACATGATTTTGATTTGATTTGATGGCAGGCATTACCATGAAGTGGCATACCATACATGTACATGACTGTACAGTGGCAATGTACATGACTGTACAGTAGTGAGTGCAGTGTCCTATCCAACAATCACTCATATTAATTATTATTATTGTTGGATGCTTTGAAACAAAGAGCATCAGTCCGGAGCTATCCAATTTTGTGCACTTCATAATCATTGAATGATAGGAATCAATCAGCCACTCTAATCTCTACAACATGTACAAAATAAAATAATCAGATGATCACACACTCAACTATTAAACTCCTGTCTACTGCATGTGTCTCGTCACATTCTCATACTCAGAGTCATAGTCATTGAATCAATGTGCGCACAAAGTAGTCAGGGGCATGCATTTGCATGGCTACCAGATATGGTGCCTCCCTGGACACACCTGCTTTTCCTTTGCTCAACAAAGCAGACATGCACAGGAACTAGCTACTTTCTTTCTGTGGCACTACGGCAGGGGAGTATCAAGGTGATGACATCGCTCCTAATATGATCCTAAGCTGCTGAGGACAGCTAGGACTCTGCCCAAGTCACCATTGGCATTGCCATGTGTCCTAGATAGAGTAGATCCTGGGTCGACACCAGTCCTCTCTGCAGCTGTGTCGAGGGCCTGGGTCATACCTGTATGCACAGTGGGTGGCTAGTAGCTGGAGCAGCCAGCATCAGTGCACGCATATTGTACTACATGTATACTGCCACTGGTCTGTGTGGTATTCATCTGTGACACTTGTGACTTGCTGTGCTGATCCACCGCACATCACCTGAATCCATCCAGCTGGATTTCATGCACAAATATGGACCCACATTTACCATACTGATGATCTATGGCTATGCGCATGTCCATATTTGTACTAAGTACCTGCATCTGTATACTGTAGCTAGCTGTAGGAGCTACTTTGAGAACTACATCAGTACATGTACATGTACATGTGACTACTACGCGTCGTAACGACGTTACATGTACGTAAGTAAGTATTAGTTCCCACCTACCGCAGCATGCTAGCTATTGCTAGGATTGCTAGCATCAGTTTGCAAGATGACGTCAAGCCAGTCATATCATACTTCAATGTTATTGTCTTCTAAATCCAGATACTAATTACTTCCATTACTTTAGAAATACAATAATGTAGTTAGTTGGTGGAAGTAACTATGCTTATGGCATGGCATGTTGCATTGCGCATTGTTCAGTGCTACTACAGTACCCAAGTAACGACCCGGTGACGTGTTAGTTAGTTCATGATCAGACCCTGCTCTCTGAGTCTGACTGAGTCTGAGTCTGACTGAGTCGGTCAGACCACTGTTACTGTTAGTAACCCAATGATTACATGTATGTAATTGGAGCAGGAAGAGTTCGAAATCATACTATCCGAGGGTGGAAGGCACCACTGAACAGCTAGCTACACCACGTACAGCTAACAGACAGTGTACTTACCTTCCGCCCTTGCATTGCGTCATGCCTGACGTCTGTGGCGTGCGAATAAGCAGCTTGCAGTCGGCCTACTACACTCTACAGTACTAGCTACTGCCTGGCTATGTACATGTACATGTATGTACATGTATGATGTAGCACGTGTACACTCTGATTGCAGTACAGTCAGTTTGTTACCAGTACTAGTAACCATGGTATTGGTAACTCACTGTACGTCATGTAGCTGCATCTCGACACGTCTTCACGTGTCAGACGGCTTGTCATCGTACATGAGGGATGTCGACATGTCATGATTTGGCAGTACCAAACAACCAAACTGGACCCTGGCTACAGATATGACATCACAGCACAGTGCCAGTCAACACTAGTACATTTAACACACAACAGATAACATACTGTAACCAGTCTCAGTCACTCAAGCTACAGTCATACATTGTACAGTCATGTACGTACATGACCGGGCATGTGATTGTCAGTGTCACTTTAATACTGTACGTCATTGACACATAA